GGAGTTCTGGAGATAGGGTCCAACTATACACCAAATGCTTAGTTATGATGATCAAGAGTGTCTATTCCAAAATTGTGAATTTCTTTACCCCCGGTAAAGGGTTTTGATGTTAGGGTGGAACTCTTTTGATAAGATGGTGAAATTGCATTAATTCTTTGAAAACCTTCTCTGCTCCTGGGCATCTAGGCAGCAAACAGACTAATTTAAGTTGTAATGAGCAAGGGTATTTTTACCAGATTATAAAAATTCTGCACCACTTGGTGAATTTACTAATTTGTATTTTACCGAGAGAATTATTCCCTTTAGCTTTTCACCTATGATAATTGATTACTGTAATTAATGTAATTGAAAGGTCAATTGAATAACAGAATTCCACAAGAATTTTTATTCAATACAAAAACTACCTTCATAGTTTTTAATGGTCAGGTAGACTTGCAAGTAATTTTTATAGATAAATAAAAACAGGGCAAAAATATCTCATATTTGTGCATTGAATGTTCTTCAAAGACTAAGTGAGGCCAATTTGATAGAGAATGAGATACTAAAATAGGTTTACTATTAGTGCTCAAGAAATATATTATCCCGCATGGGGATAGTGACAAATGGGGGCAAGTGCAGGCAATGCACGGTATATACTCGCCTATACACTGTAAGTCGGTTTCTTGGAAGTTAAACTTTGGTCCAAAACGCTTTATCCGACTTATACGCGAGTTATAAAAAGATTGGTATTTTAGCAGGTCAATCCCTCTAATTTAAGCTTAAAAAATACAACCGATCGACTTATCGGCGGGCCGACTTGTAGGCGAGTATAAACGGCAAGTAAATAGATCAACTTTAAGGTATGTTACTAAGCACTATATTATTTTGCTAGTCCCTGATCATCCTTGCTCTTGGGCAACAGAGATTATGATTTAATATTCAATCTGGATCCTTTACAGTGTAACATTTATATAATTGCTCAGGTGACCGTTAAGGCCCTTTGGGTCCCTTGTAATGATGTCAGAAACCTGTGTGTTTTTTAAACTGAAATGTCGCGTTTTTGTCCATATGAGAATATTGGAATAAGGCTACCGAGAGCTTCTTTGAAAAGATTTGATTTTCATAATTATCTAAAATAAACTGAGTAATTTAGTGTACAAAAATGAATTAGAACATGACATAAAAACATTTAATCAGAATACAAAATATAAAAAAAACAAACGATTTCTTTAACAACGTACGTTGGGCGAGGGGAGGGGGGACTCCCTTTTCTGTGAGTAGTCTTTCAGCCACATGCATAGCATCCTTTTTGAAAGATGGGGGGGGGGGGGATGAAATACTTCACAACTTAACTGTGACTGAACTTAACTGTTAACTGAAAAATCTTTGACAGGAAAGAACACGAAGCCCATAGACCACAATGCTCACCTGAGTCACTTTGGTCCTGCTGTTCTGCTTAAGCCTTTTTCCCAAGTATACATGTATTCCTATTAAATTTCGATCGCCTTTTGTGACCCCATACTAAATACAGAGGATCTTAATTGACCAAGAATACATCTGCACTACCAGCGGACGCTTCCACTTTTATATGGTTCAGCAAAGCTTTATTGTTCTTGAGTAGAGGATTTTTAAAGATAATATTCTATATTGTGACCCCAACCTACCCATGGGGACCATGATTTGAACAAACTAAACTACCTTTTAGGGAGCTTCCACAAAATCTCTGTGGGACATATTTTATTTCCCCGCTACAAATGAGTACATTAGATTCATATTACCGCTCTATCTTAAGATTAAGTAAATATATATTATTATGCCCCCGTATCGAAGATTCGGGGGTATATAGTTTTTGCCCTGTCCGTCCGTCTGTCTCTCTGTTTGTCCGCAAAAACTTTAACATTGCTCATAACTTTTGATTGGTTGGAGCTATGGCTTTCATATTTCACGTGTATTCCTTGTGACAAGACCTTTCTTTGGGTAACATCAAATTTGACCTTTTGACCTTGGAGTTTGAACCAGTTTTACCAAATTTTATTAACTTTAACTTTGGCCAAAACTTTTGAACGGTTGGTGCTAGGGCTTCCATACTTCACATATGTAAGCCTTGTGACAAGACCTTCCTTTGGATACCAACAACTTTGACTCTTTGACCTTGGAGTTTGCCCTACTTTTGAAAAACTTTAACCTTGGCCATAATTTTTGAACAGTTGGTGCTTGGGCTTTCATTCCTCACATGTGTAATCCTTGTGACAAGTCCTTTCTTTAGATACCAACAATTATAGCCCATTGAACTTGACCTTGGAGTTTGACCTACTTTTTAAAAACTTTAACCTTGGCCATTTCTTTTGAACAGTTGGTTCTAGGACTTTCATACTTCACATATGCAATCCTTGTGACAAGACCTTACTTTGGTTACCAACAACTTTGACCCTTTGACCGTGACTTTGGAGTTTGACCTACTTTTGAAAAACTTTAACCTTGGTCATATCTTTTAAACGGTTGGTGCTACTAGTAGGGCTTTTATATTTCACATGTGTATTTCTTGTGATAAGACCCTTTTGTCTTCATAGGCGATAGCATAATGCAACCTTGCATAAAAGTACAATTTACATTTCACAAGTTGACAAATCGCAAGTCTACGAATTACATGACCGCTAGAATGAAATAACTTACAATTACATTTTACACTTAATTGTCAAGTTACGTTGGATACTTACAATTAAGAAATTGTGATATAACAATTGATATCATAAAATTTGAAATTGTAAATTTGTCATCTTTTAATAATAATGTGCCTAAATAATAACGTAAAATTGTGTCGAACGTTGGATCTTTAGATGTTTTGATTCGAGGAAATGCGAACTGAGTGATTGAAAGTCAGATATAATTTCCACAATGAGATAGATCTATTGTATTCAGATAACTATCAGTAAACTATTTTATTTTACATCAAAACGAATCTGAAAATCAAAGAAAATATGGTTCCCTAATCCTCAAATGATATTTAAATTGAAATTATTAGAAATAATTATTTATCATTTTATTAATAAGTGTTTCCAACAATCCTCCAAAAGTTTACTACAATTCTCAGTCTACACGATTCATTATAGAATTCCGATCTCGATGTATTTTCTCTGTCAACAATCCGTTGTGGAATACCGATCCAGATGTATTTTCATAGTATTTTTAAAAATATAAATTTGTGTGGTAAATGAATATCATACAGTTTCAAAGTACAGTATCATGAGTTCATAAACATGTATGAATGCTAATTATCTAAACCCTGCCTCAAAATATTCAAAAATTCGTAAGTTAAACTGTCTTTTTCTTTGGAAAGTAGATCAAAGGTCAGGATCAAGTGGATTGTAATGCTGGTATTTTTCATAATATTTTATGAACAGGGCACATGCTAAATAGCATAGACTTACCTTTTCAATATAAAAAAAAAATATGCAGTATATCGGCGCTATGAACTACTTTGAAAAGTTGGTCAAGGGTCAAGAGGTCGGTAACCATGGTAATTTACAAAAGCCATAGTATCATATATATAACAAATCCATACCTCTTACAGTTATCATTTACCTTATAGAGATATAAGGTGTGACAGACAGACAGAGGTAGTGATCGCGATCGCTAAGTGTCGCTCTGCTCTGTGGGCTACACAAAAAAAATCCTAAACTGAATTTAGTTTTGTAATATGCATGCATATCATGCCTTCAAACGGTCTCTTAACTGTTTACAAATAACATAGTTGAATACAAAAGGGGATATCACACACTATGTTCTGCTCTTCGTAAATACAGAGGGTTGCCTAGGGAATAGAACCCGAAAGATTTTTCAGTTTAAAAAAGTAGCGTAAAGACCAAGCACGTAGTATCGGAAGGGGGGGGGGGCAGACCCCCCCCCTTCTCACTTTTCCCCGATCATTATATATGTTTTACTGTTAATTTAGTACCAAAATGTTCATTGAAAGGGAGGTTGCCCCCATACCCACACCTTTTGTTGTACTATTATACTAAGGTCAAATCCATCATAATTATTGATCGAGAAATTGTATTTTGAAAAAGTTGGAATTATAACACTAACCCCCCTCCCGGATTTTTCAGATAAAAGTGTCAATTATTTTTCTCGGTGCCCCTTTCAAAAACGATGCTACATGCTTAAAGACTAGAATATTTTTTTTTTCTGTTTCTTTGTCTGGGAAACTACATGTTCTGATAAAAATCAACAAAAAATCCTTCATAAATCTCTTGGATATACACTTTTACACTTTAAACATATTTTATTGAAAAAATCAATAAGGTTTATGCAACAGGCAAAGCCTATGCAACCCTCTCCTTGGGATACATTTGTGTTTGGTTCTAGAATCAAAGGAGTAATGTGTATAAATTCATTGGGGGGGGGGTTAACGCACGATTATATGTTAATTTCTAATATTCAATCAAATATTTTTATTTCATGTTTTATCATACTGTTAAATTCTGTGTAAATACCATTAGATAAAAAAAGTCGGATATTTGTGGTTAACTGCTTGTTGCGTTTCTTTTGCTTGTCCGTATATTTATATTTCAAAATGTACATTGTACATGTATGAATTGAAGTATTAACTATTTTGCTTTTGTTATAATCAATCATGAGCAAATCAAAACAAGCAAATAAAATTCATAATAATTTTTATTGATATTATCGAAAATTAAATATTATGTTAAAAATTATAATCGACACTGTTAACATAATTTCTTTTCTTAAACAATTATAAATACTAGTCTAAGCTTTGTGCAAATCGCAGAATCGAATATGGTTTTCATTGAACTTCATTTACATCGCTTCTCTAAGGAAATAACAAACCAAATTCAAATTAAAGTATTCACGTACATGTACTACTCATGTGCATTGCTGTAATATATAAATGTAATTAATTCATTTGGCTGTCTTAAAAGTCATACTTGATTTGCTTTGTAACACATAATAGTACATTTCAGACAAAGAAAACAAGAACATGTACAAACAGGTATGGTTTATGTAATTTACATCAACTGTATTGAAAAGCATGAAAATAATATTCAAGAACTGATTATAATATAAACCATCATTGTAAATGAAGTATTCAAACTGTAACTTATGTATGTAAATTGCATTTAAAAGAAAGAGGAAGTACAATTTGTATTATTACCATACTCAACATCACCTCCAATAACGATAGCTTTCTGTTAAAAAAAACAAAGGTTAGATATAATAATGAGTTTTAAACAGTTCACTAGAGCACGTAACCAAAAGTTGTTTTTTTGTTTTCATTTAGAAATTTAAGTTTATATTGCAAGTCACGGAAAATTTCAAAAAAATATGCTCTTCCAGCCTTTATGATGAATTGATTTAGAATTATACTCACGTCTATCAATTGAATGGTGGTATTCTTCAGCTTTGCATGAATTATTGGTATACAAAAGCCTCTTTCCCCTAATTCTGAAATGATTTCATTAATGCAATACTTAAAAATATATAAAGGGAGACAGTATAGTTGGAAACGTTAGATGAGTTGAAAGGGGGCTGGACACAGTTGCATTGTTTACATCTTAAATTTCTAAGCTTATTCAAACAATAAAACCAATTAAATGAATTGAACTTAAATAAATATTCTTAGTAATGTTGTAATCTGCTTTGAATAGAAGCATCGCACTTGAGCAAGTTGACCATTCATATACTAGATAATGGCATAGACAGAAACTTGTTTTATATAGCTTTTTGGAATTAAAATACACGTCCGGTAGTTCAAACCTGGCCACAAAACCTTTATACCTCTAACCGTCATGGTAGCTCAGTCGGTAGAGCGCTCACTCCGTGATTGGAAGGTCGTGTTCGAATCACGGCTGCGTCTGACCTAAGTTGATAAAAAATAGGTAGCAACTACTCCTTCATCAAGTGCTTGGCACTTTGAAATGAAAGTTGCGGGTCATTCGGATGAGACCTTATAAACCGAGGCCCCGTACGTGTCGCGGTAAAAGAACCCTCACTGTTCAATGGCCCTGAGAGCCGGTTAAGGTCTAAATTTGAAGCCTTTCACCGGTATATGGTGACGTCTCTTTATACGTGAAAATTCTCGAACGGGATGTAAACAACATACATGTACAATCAATCAATCTTTATATACCTCTATAATAAATACATTTAATATTTACTAAAGAGAAAAACATTTTCCAACCAAAGAAAATTGGTTATGTGGCTGGATAACAATCCCTGGCTACACAAACAAATATCTAGTTGAGATGTATCCTCTTCCATTTGTAGGTCACCCGAGTCACTCAGGTGACCTATTGATATCCCTTCTGTGTCAACGTGTGTCATTTGTTGTACCTTTACTCGGCACTTAGGTCCATTGAGCTGTGGGGGATCTTTTTCGTGCCAACACCTACTGCGACACGGGGCCTCGGTTTATACGGTCTCATCCAAAGGACCGGTCTCCACGTCCTACAGTGGATTCGAACCCGCGACGTAAAGATCAATTAACTCCTTACTCCGCGACTCTAGAGCAGACGCTCTAACCACTGCACTAGCCATGCAGGCGACGTTTGTTGTTCGTAAACGTGAACATTTTCAGCTTCTTCTCAAGAACCACTGAACCAATTTCAACCAATTCTGACATATAGCATTAATAGGTAAAGGGGTTCAATACCGTCAATTTCCTGGTCTCTGATCCCTAGGGCCTGAGGGATGGAACTAAAACCATAAAATAAGTGCTATCTTTAAAAAACTTCTTGACTCCTGGACATCAAGCAGTCAAACTGTTAACATGATTGTAATAATCATTTAGCCCTCTATCAAAATTATGAAATTCATGGCCCCAGGGACAGGGGCTCTGGAATTTTGGCGGGTCTGTAATGATCATATAGTGAAATTGATAAGTTCTTTAAAAATATTCTATTACCCTGAATATTTAGCAGATAATCGAAGTGCATGGTCAAGATAAACAAGGGTGCCTCCTCTAAAATGGTCCCCAGGGTCAAGATTCTGTAATGATCATATAGTGAAATTGATAAGTTCTTTAAAAATATTCTATTACCCTGAATATTTAGCAGATAATCGAAGTGCATGGTCCAGATAAGCAAGGGTGCTTCCTCTAAAATGGTCCTCAGGGTCAAGATTTCTGGTGCTGGGACGGGGCTCTATTGATTGTATAGTGAAAATGCGTTATTTGTTTGAAAATCGTCTTCTCTGCTCAAGTATATCAAGCAGCCAAACTAAGTGCATAGTTATGATAAGCAAGGTTGTCTCTCTTAAAATTGTGAATTTCATAGTTAATGGTTGAAGGACTCTGCTAAGATTCTATTGACTATATAGTGAAAATGCATTAATTCCTTGAAAATCTTTATCTCTGCTCATGGATATTTATCAGATAAACTTAGTGCATAGTTATGAAGAGCAAAGGTCTTCATCCAAAATTGTAGAATTTCTTCTGACCTCAGAGTCAGGGGTTCTGGTATTGGAGTGGGGCTGTTGATTATCAAGAAGAAATACATTATTTCTTTGAAAATCTTCTTTGCTCCTGGGTATTAAACAAACAAAGTGCATAGGCCATAATTATGATAAGAAATGATGCTTCTTTCAAAATTGTGAATTCCATAGTTCTTGGTGTTAGGGGGGCGGGCTCTTATTGATTATATAGTGAAAATCCATTACTTCTTTTTAGGTCACCTAAGTCAACCAGGTGACCTATTACTACATTGTATCTGTTTTTGTCTTGTGTTGTTTGTAAACTTTTGACATTTTCAGCTTCTTCTCTTCAACCACTGAATACAACTTTGGGGTAAAACATCAATGGGTCGGGATACAAAAATTGTGACTTTGATTGCCTCTGCAACCCCATGGCCCGAGGGGTGGGGCTATAAAACCATCAAAATTAGTGTTAAAAATCTTCTTCTTTACTCCTTGTCATCAAGCAGTCAAACTGTTGACTTAATTTTATAAGCATAGAGCCTTGTACCAAAGTTACGAAATTCAACTCAGGGCCAGGGGTTCTGGAGTAAGGCTGGGCTCTAATGATCATGTTGTAAAAATGCGTAAATTTTTCTCGGACCCTGGGTATTTAGCTGACAAACTAATTGCATGTTTATGATAAGCAAGAGTGACTCTTCCAAAATTGTGAAATTTGTTGCTCTAGGGTGAATATGTTTATCTCTGAACTGGGTTTTATCCTGTATATACATGCATGGCAATACATGTTAATTTTATCTGTTAATACATGTAACTTTTATTTGATATTAGGACATTTAAATTCCTACATATTAAAATATGAAGGGTTTTCATGCCAAAAAATAAATAAGGGCCAAACTGTGCTTATATTTGTCTCTTTGGGTCTGAACATGGCATAAATTCGTTTTATTCCATTACATGTACATTTAGGTTTCAGACCACAAAGATTTTTTTGTTTATATTTAACAAGATAAAGTAACGCGTAAGCGCGGGGAATTGAATTTCTACCACTGCTGACGGAATAATTCCAATAATAGTAATATTTCATAGTTTATACTGACAATTAATTACAGGCATATAGCAGGAAGAAATACTTTTTTCAAAATCCCGCAATTGGTTTAGGAGCAGTAGATATACCTCCCCAGCCTACCCTCTTTCTTCGTTTTTTTTTTAAATCTCAATTTCGCGAATTAGTTGACGTATTCTCTTTACATGTTAGCAAATTTATTTTGATACCTGACGTATTATCTTGATATACATATTGTATTTCGAGGGTGCTCTGTTTCCATTCCCATCAAGGATAAAAGAAGTGAATGTGCACATTTTACGCGAGTTTGTCAGCACATTTTTCTTCTCTTTAGGGGTGTGTGTTCAAAATTAGCTTTTCACACTTTAAATTATGTATAGTCCCAACATCTAATACAAAAGACTGTATGCCGAAAACTTGATTAAAGCATAAATTTTTAAAAGCATATTCCATCCATAAATCCGTATTCATCATGTTCATTAATTGGCATTTTCTCTTTTGCAAGTTTATTATTACTAAATATACAATTCGTACTTCGGGTTCGTTGCTACGTGCTCTCAGTGGCGAATATACACATTTTATGGTTTTACTGGTAAATTTGTTAGCACAACTTACAAACAGTCTTTCGATATATAAATATATTCACAACTTATAGTGTTACCAATTGCTTTACCATTAATTCCATGCCCATCCACATCAAAAACATTTTCATATCCATGTAGTGTTATGAACGCCTCGTTTTTGTCCCAAGATTTCGCTGAAAGTGGGGGATCTTAATTTGGGTCTTTCTGTCCGTCCGTCTGTATTTCTGTAACAATTTCATTTCCGCACGATATCTCTAGAAGCCTTTGAGCTTTTGATTGAGGTCAAAGGTCAAGGTCATAAATTCTATCTGTTTTAACACTTTCGTGTCCGCGCGATATCTCGAGAAGTCTTTCAGCTTTTGCAATGAAATTTTACACAACTCTCTGTGGCATAAGGAAGATCTCTTTTGATTTTGAGGTCCAAAGGTCAAGGTTGTAAATTCATACATTCTGTTTGTGTGTAACACTTTCGTTTCCGGGCGATATCTCAAGAGCTTCTGAGTTTTTGCAATGAAATTTTATACCATAACTCCCTATGCCCCCCCCCTTTTCTCAAAGTGTCCCGCCCTTTTTTTTTTTTTTTTAAATTTTGGTCATTTTTTTTTAAATTCAATTGGAAATTTGTTGGCATTGATCACGCTCAAAGTTTTAGAGTTACTCTCCGTTTGTAATAAAAGTCGCGTGGCACTTTTTTTTAGCACTGGAGCAAGTGGAGAGTTATTACATAGAATACAGGTCGTCGGCGGACTTTATATTCTAATTACATCTATTAAAACTGTTTAGTAAAGGCTAAATTAGACACCATGTATTAGGTAAAATTTTGAAGATATCGAACGTGAATATATACATGTATATGTGACCTGCTGTTTGCGTTTGACTGCATTAATGTCAAGCCCTCGAAAGTCTAGGGGAATGATTCTCGTTTTGGATACAAGAGGTCTAGGTTTCAATTCCCGTACGATCCCATATTTTTTTTGAAATGTTTTATTTCGATATACTAAATGATAGTATTCAACATATGGAATGAAGAAGTTATGACATCTTGCGAGTATAAACTTCTTATAAAATCATTAATACAGTGTGGTAAATATTTTATATTAAAAGAATCTTCTGTACACATTTTTAAAGAATAATCAATCACATGTTTCCATGTTGGCATTTTTTATTTCCTTCAGTAAGACTAGTTTAGATGTATGTAATTGTTCACTTCACAAATTATGTAATGATTAATGTTGAAGTTAATAACCATACATTTATTTCATAATTCAGGTTATTTATTCATTTTTTTCCCGTTCGTATTCCTACTAATTTTAAAGGTGCTTAGACACAGATTTGAAGTTAATATTTTCTCAAATTTTCTGTATGATATCACGACTTATATATTGCAATAGCATTTCACACGAAAATATAATTAAAAACTTATTTTATCTGGAAATTATTGGAACTACGAATTCGTGGACGCGTTTGATTAACACATCCTTGCACTTTCACAAATTTTATCTTTGTCCTTAACATTTAAGAAAAGAAGCGATTTTGTTGTGTATTAATGAAAAACATTACATCTATAATCCAGAAAATTCAGAGTAGAAATGTGCGAAAGCAAACACCCTCACTAATATCGTCAGCCCGTGCTCAGTGTTGTGTACAGAGTTTAACAAATTGAATACACCCGTGAAACGTAAACTGTTTTTGTAAACAGGGCACGAGCTCTGTTACTGTTAATGTTTACGATTCACCAGGTGTGTTCAATTGTTAAACTCTGCACACACCACTGAGCACGGACTGACAATACTGTGAGTGGATTTTGCTTTCGAACATTTCTACTCTGAATTTTCTGGATTATAGTTTTAATATTTTTCATTAATACACAACAAAATTGCCACTTTTCTTAAGTATTAAGAATAAAATTAAAATTTGTGAAAGTGCAAGGATGTGTCAATCAAACGCGTTCAGAAATTTGAAGTTTCAATAACTACGAGATGAAATAAGATTTTTATTATATTTTAGTATGAAATGCTATAGCGACATCTAAGTCATGAAATTATTCAGAAAATTTGAGAAAATATTAACTTCAAATCTGTGTCCAAGCACCTTTAATTAAGACATTATTGCATGTTTGGTTTCCTAATAGTGACAAGACGCAAGAAACTCACGTGCTTTTTAGGTTTGTGTTCAAGAACTAATTCAAATTATTAGTGTTTCTTGTAGAGTTACAATATCACAATAATTGCTATATAGGTTTCGTAGACGATAAATAGAAATCATGGGGACAAACGGCAAATTCCCTCAATGAATAAATACAAGTTGAAATTTGCTTTACCAATTTTTACCAATTTCACAAATTTTACTGTACATTTGACACAAAACTAAAGACAGTGACTTGCACTACAATTTCACATGCAATGCTTCTTATAGCATATTCGTCTAACAGTGCTAATAAAGTTTTTCCCCTTAACTTTTGCATCTAAAAGAAGACTGGTTTTCGTTCATAAAGTTCTGATTAAAGTTTTCTCATCTTAGTTGTTAACAATTCGATAATAAAGCGCATATGTATGAGATTGATTGATTGTATGTTATTTCACGCCCCATTCGAGAATTATTCATTCATATAGGGACGTTACCTTATACAGAAGAAGGGCTTAAAATTTAGACCTACACTCGGCACTCAGGGCCTTGAGTTTTTTTTATCGTACCAACTCCTGCCGTGACAAGGACCTCCGATTTTCAGGTCTCGTCCAAAAGATCCGTGACTTTCATTTCTAATGGTAGGCGCTTGGCGGGGTACATGTAACAGTCAATACCTATGTTTGACGCACATATAGGACAATAAAACCTTAAGTTCTTAACATTCTAATGAAATTAAGTCATAAAAGCCTGCAGATATTAAACTTTTTCCAAAAAGGGTCTTTCATCAACAATAATAACGGTAACTAGGGCAGAATGATGTTCTCGCAGATTTTTTGAAAAAAAAATTTAAATTTTTTTTTTTTTTTTTTTTTTTTACAGATTATGCATATTTCAGGCATGAGAGCAATAATTAAACAAAGTATATACTTTTTTTATGTATATTAAGACTTAGTAAAGAAAAAGGACAGTTATCTATCAATTAAGCTACAATTAATTTCAATATATATATTTCCTACGAACATTGAACCCCACAGATTGAAATGAATCTAAATTTTCTAATTTGAATATATTGAATGTCTGAAAAGAAAAACGGCAATTTGACAACTGGTCTTGAATGGGTTAAATTACGTTGATTATATATAGAATAAAACATATTTTAATAGACTCGGTTTTTATACTAAAATGAACAAGAAACGTTTTCTATAAAGTAAATTCCCTTGTGTTACCATTTGCATAGAAGATAAAGATTTTAACTAGATTAAAAGTCATGGAACTTTTTTTTTCAGACACAGGAAGTTTGTACCTAAGTTGACTGACTAAATCTTGGAGGGTTCCAATCATTTTCTTACCATTTAGTTTAGGTTCCGCTGTCACCACAACTGCTCCTAGCAGGATAAAGTTTATTGTCTGTTGCTTAAATAAATAAAATTATAGTAAAGCAAAATATTACAAGGTACAGAAACTTAGTATAAAATTAACGATATATATATTTCGAAATTGATACTGAATAACAACTTACATCAAAGCCTGTAATTTCAGGACCAACGTCAATATTCTCTATATATGGACTATAGATTTAAATAAATGTGTCTATAAGTACAAGTGCTTTTCACATTCATAAACTTAATTGAATACTAGTAATTTTCTGGAAATAAAACCATGATAATTTCTGGTCTGATTTATGGGGACTAAATACTTAAGACTCGTCTGGACTTTAATTCAAACATTTTAGCTTCTTACATTTTGCAGTCACATTTTACCAAAGGCAAAGGTATTTTTTTTACATGGAAAGAAAACTGGAAATCAATGAAACAAAGTGTGATGTCTTGCATAAGTTTCAGTAAATTCTGATTTTTAAGCTTTAAAGAGATAGAGCAGAACATCTACACTTGAAATTTATGATAATGAATGTTTTCAAAACTTACTCAAAAGCGACAACTTTTCCTCGTATTCTGGTTTCATTCATGATGTATACTTGGATTCGTAAAGTCACACTCTGTTAATAAAATAAAATAATTTAGCGTTACTGACGATATCTTAAGGATAAATAATATACATGTATATATTAGCTTTATAGTTAGCTTTAAAATTTGCAAATGTCTAAGAGCAAGTTATCGGCTACGCTTTTTGCTCCCGTTTCACTAAAAATAAATATGTTGTGAATTTTACCACATCCAATTTTGCAATTTGAGTGAAATTTCCAAGCCCTGGTCGGGGGTCCCTGATATTAACGAACATAACTATCTTTCCTGACAAAACGGCTAAATCCTTTTCAAATGTTATGTTTGGTGTTTTCAGACTATAAAGGTCTAGGTCCATGAAAGAATCTGGATATTTCTTTGCTAGCTGAAGAGCATTAAAATACAGTATTTTAATTCTTGAGAATTGAAAATTGGAATTCTACCAAATTTTACTTATATTTAATTAAAACGTACATGTGCAATTCAACTTACCGACGGGACTAACCTTCCAACACAAACTCCAGTTTTGCAAGTAGTGTTTAGTCCGTGTCCGGCGTGTAACTGAGTGTGAAAAGTACTTTGCAGCATTAAAACTATTGGTCATTTTAGTGTTGTATTCAATTTCAAGAGAATTCTTTTTGTTACCAAAAATTCTACTACAGATTTCGAAGATAAAATATATATTACAATCTTCGGTTTTTAGGCTTCCAAATAACAATATATATCTTAATAATTGTTTCCTGATCTAGTTGACCGTAAAAGATTATTTTGAAATCCAGACAACTTTTAATTTAAAGTAAAAGCTTACGTTTTCCGCAGTGATCATATAGTGAAGCATTCCGTGTCTTTGAAATCCTTCTAAGAAAGACTCCATACCATATTTGGAGATCCACAAGTAAATCATTTTAGAAGTGTTTTTATCCCTGTCAAAATGGACGAAACCAGTAGGATATTTCTCCAAAGTAGAATGCCAAAATACATCTCCCTGAAATTCAAAAATGGTGGTTTACATGCATGCGTTTTGCTCAAACTTGTCTCGACATAGCAGCAACTGAGGGAAATCCCTTTCTCAAAGGAAACGTTTTCAAAAAGAGAAATTCATCACTAATTCATTGCCAAAAATGAAAAAAAAACAGACTTTAAATGGAAATAAAAGAATATTTTCTGCCCACAAACAACAACAAAAATATTAGGAAAGTAACATATAATTAGCAATGTTACTCCAGCTCATTAATGAACGGTATGTGTTGAATTTGATAAGTATTCCATTTCAAACTATAATGGAACCAATACCATGACGTCACACTATAATGATGAAGTCTCACTGCAGACTAGTGCAGCCTTTTACTGACTTTCTGTATAAACCAACCGCTTACTAAGTAAGCTACGTACATATAGTTCTTAAAATATTAGTTTTTTTATATTAACGATTATTAGCAAAATTAATAATATTAGTTTTTTTTTTTAATCTTTAAAATTAAAATCCCACTCACTTTGTGATAGGTATCTATGAAAGTTTCGTTGTAGGTCGGGTCCTTTGGCATACTTAAGTTTACATTAAATAGAGTACCAGGTTGGATATTTGGAAATACTAGAATTACAACAAAATCAAAAACTGAGACTAAGAAATTTTCAAATTTTTACTACATTGGAGCTATATTTAAATATTCACATGATGATGAGTTTAGATTAACATCAAAGTAAACAGAACTTACGGTCCACCTTTTTCAATTTCTTTCCTATTGCTTCAATAACTTTATCAAGACTGTGACATACATCAAGCTTAATAAAACAAAACATTGGAAAACATATTATTACATGTATGTTATTTTTAAATTGTCCAGTGAATGCTAAAACCGCAGAGTGCAGTGTTTTTACCAGCATATATATATATATATATATATATATATATATATATATATATATATATATATATATATATTTATATATATATTAATTAGGGGTGGCAATCGAATGTAGAATTGCCAATTGGTTAACCACAAGACGTTTCGACCGATTAATCGGTTAATCGTATCAAAAATTCTCGACGTATTTCATTATTGTAAGTTCTACTTAAATAGACAGACTATAAAGATGTTACTTGTAGTAATATTATGTTTATTAGAACATTATATACGAGTATATTTTTCATTTCAATTTTAAAGCAAAAGAAAAGGAAAAAGAAAAAAATTAAGAAACCCATGAAACATGACTGAAGAATCAGATATATATACATGTATTAAAAAAATTCAGAAGAGATGTCTCACAATTCCAATCTGCGTTTTTACATAATCAAAATTAAGTCTGAATTATCGCTTACTTTACAATGTTTGTTTAATAACATAATTTGATATGTAACTGCAAAAGATAAAAGGGGTAAGGTACATATTATAATCAGTTCACGGTACTCAACGATCATTTAATTGAAATTAATTATTAAAGAAACACGGGACTGGCTGGGTGGTGTTTAAACTGTATTAACATCTCGAAAGCTAATTACCCCCACGAAATTAATAAGGAGAGTCTTAATTATCTCCAGACCAGCCTAAGAAATAGATAGGTGAAAATTCTAACATTTCCTATATTTTTTTTTTTTGATTGAATTTTCAGGATACTGTGTTCAAATGTATAAATTTTTTTCGAATAATCGGTTACAGATTTTCTAACCGATTACCAACGTTCCGACCGAGTAATCAGTTAACCGATTACAAACTGACACCCCTAATATATATATATATATATATATATATATATATATATATATATATATATATATATATATATATATAATAAATGTATGCGTAGCATCAAATCCTCACCAGATTTAAGGTTTTATTAAGTCTATTTGTAATGAAGTTGAGTTTGAAGTCTTCTGTGTCTTTTTCACATAATTTTTCGCTCAGAATGTCACAGTCTTTGTAGTTGATTGTCATATTTGACAAGAGTATTGAACAGCTATCACCACTTGTATTACACATCTGTAAACTTAAGTCACCATTTTTGTCTCTTCCTATAATAAATTGATATTACAAGCATGTTAGCATTTCCGATAAGCAGAGGAAATAATTCTTTATGTCTGATTTGCTCTACTTCTCTATTTCAAATAAAATTTCCCTTCAAAGATGAAAAAAAAAACAATTTGGCTGAGCAGTTCTTTAAAGATCATTGTCGAAATAACATACATTGCATATCTCCTACATCTTCACCATTCAAAAAGATATATTCCAAAGGATATCACTTTGACTCGACATTTCCGTTAAGAAGAGAGGAAATTTTGAATCGGTGCACATGCATTATGTAAAAATTTAATCCCAGCTTCCAGGGCCAATAATTTGTGAATTTTAATAGGATTATGTGCGACCCCGATATTCTAGGGGGAATGATATCCATTATTTCCCGTCTTTTGGTCCCAACCTACCCCTGAGAGCTGTATATTCCTTTATAAAATGTCGATCCCTTTTTGTAGACTATCCTAACCCAAAGGTCACAATTTGAACGTACTTGAATGCCTTGCTGAAAAAGCACAAATCAATTTAGAATTGAAAAGTTTACATGGGGGTGGGGTGGGGGCTTGAATTTTAAACTACCTGAGGATGCCTCCATATTAATATAACAAATGGCTTTGCTGTTCTTGAGTAGAACATTTTAAAGATTTTTTTCCCCTATATATTCCTTTGTAAAAATTTGATACCCCATTGTGGCCCCTCCCTACCCCCAAGGGTAATCAGTGGAACAAAATTTTATCTACACTACCCGATGATGCTTCCATATCAATATGACTAAACATGGCTTTGCTGTTCTTGAGAAAAAGATTTTTTCCTTTATATTCCTATGTAAAATTTACATCCCCCATTATGACCCCACCCTACCCCCGGGGTTCATGATTTGAACCAACTGGAATCTACAATACCTGAGAATACTTCCATTTCAATATTACTAAACATGGCTTTGCTGTTCTTGAGAGGAGGATTTTTAAAGTTTTTTCCTATATTTCTATGTAAAACTTTGATCCCCCTTTGTGGCCCCACCCTACCCCCAGGGGACATGATTTGAACAAATTTGAATCTATACTACCTGAGGATGCTTCCATATCAATATGAATACACAAGGCTTTGCTGTTTTTGAGAAGATTTTAAAGTTTTTTCCTATATATTCCTATGTAAAACTTTGAACCCCCATTGTGGCTCAACCCTAACTCCAGGGATAATGATTTGAAGAAATTTAAATCTACATTATCTAGGGATGCTTACATATCAATATGACTAAACAATGTTTAGCTATTCTTGAGAAGAAGATTTTTTAAAGATTTTTTCCTATATATTTCTATGTAAAACTTTGATCCCCCATTGTGACCCCACCCAACCCCCGAGGTCATGATTTGAAGAAACTTGAATCTACAATACCTGAGGATGCTTCCATATCAATATAACAAATTATGGCTTTGTTGTTCTTCAGAAGAAGATTTCTAAAGATATTTTCCTATATATTTCTATGCTAAACTTTGATTCCCCATAAATGTGGCCCCACCCTTACCCCAGGGGTTATTATTTGTAGAAACTTGAATCTACCCATACCTGAGGATGCTTCCATATTAATATGACAAATCATGGCTTTGTTGTTCTTGACAAGAAGATTTTTAAAGATAATTTCCTATATATTTCTATATAAAACTTTGATCACCCATTGTGACCCCATCTAACCCCCGGGGGTCATGATTTGAACAAATTTGAATCTACACTACATGAGGATGCTTCCATATAAATATGACTCATAATGGCTTTGCTGTTCTTGAGAAGAAGACTTTTAAAGGTTTTTTCCTATATATTTCTATGTAAAATTTGATCCTTCATTGTGGCCCTGCCCTACCCCCGGGGGTCATGATTTGAACAAAACTTGAATCTACACTACCTGAGGATGCTTCCATATAAATATGACTCATCATGGCTTTGCTGTTCTTGAGAAGATTTTTAAAGGGTTTTTCCTATATATTTCTATGTAAAACTTTGATCCTCCATTGTGGCCCAGCCCTACCCCCGGGGGTCATGATTTGAACAAACTTGAATCTACACTACCTGAGGATGCTTCCATATAAATATGAATTATCATGGCTTTGCTGTTCTTGAGAAGATTTTTAAAGATTTTTCCTATATACTTCTATGTAAAACTTTGATCCTCCATTGTGCCCCCACCCTACCCCCGGGGGTCATGATTTGAACAAACTTGAACCTACACTACCTGAGGATGCTTCCATATAAATATGACTCATCATGGCTTTGCTGTTCTTGAGAAGAAGATTTTTAAAGGTTTTTTCCTGTATATTTCTATGTAAAACTTTGATCCTCCATTGTGGCCCCGCCCTACCCCCGGGGGTCATGATTTGGACAAACTTTAATCTACACTACCTGAGGATGCTTCCACATGTGTTTCATCTTTCCTGGCCCTGTGGTTCTTGAGAAGATTTTTAAAAGATGCTATTAATTTTTCACTAATTCTTTATTATTTCCCCTTGAAAGAGGGCGTGGCCCTTCATTCGAACAAACTTGAATCTCCTTCACCCAAGGATACTTTGTGGCAAGTTTGGTTGAAATTGGCCCAGTGGTTCTTGAGAAGAAGTCGGAAATGTTAAAAGTTTACAGACAGACAGACAGACAAAGTGATCAGAAAAGCTCACTTGAGCCTTCGGCTTAGGTGAGCTAAAAAAGAATTAAATTTTATATTCTAATTTTGATTACATATTGAAGCTAAATCCTACCCAGGGTTGAGAAGAAAAAAGACTTTCATATTTGACATGTGCATTACCTGTGACAAGATCTTTCCAAATATACTATGATTAATGACTCACTGACCTTGAAGTTTGACCTACTTTTCAAAATTTTAACAATAAATTGGTCATAATTCTTGAATGAGAAAAGATAGGTTTTTATATTACACATGTATATTACCTGTGACAAGTTCTTTCCAAATACTATGATTTTTGACCCCGTGACCCCGACCTTAAAGTTTGACCTTCTTTTCAAAAATTTTAATATTACTTTAAATTGGTCATAACTTTTGAAATAGAAAAGATAGGGCTTTATATTACACATGTGTATTACCTGTGACAAGTTCTTTCCAAATATACTAAAATAAAATATAAAATAAAATTATCTTTGCTTAAAACTTATTGAGAAGCAATAGGACTTTCATATTTGACATGTGCATTTCCTGTGTAAAGACCTTTCCAATCATACTATTGTTTTTGACCTCCTTGACCCCATGACCTGGACCTTGAAATTCTTTTCGAAATTTATATCTTTGCTTATAACATTTGATTTAGAATAAATAGGGTTTTTGTACTTGACTTGTGCATTACAAGTGAGAAGGTGTTTCTGAGCATGCTATGATTTTTTTCCCCTTGGCCTTGACCTTCATGTTTGACCTAACTTTCAAATACATGTAATTTAACTTTGGTGATCTCTTTTGAATGATATACGACAGGGCTTTTATATTTGACAAGTGCATTACCTATGTCAAAATGTTTCCGAATGTGCTATATTTGACACCGTGACCTTGACCTTCAAGATAGCCTATTTTTCAAATATTTCATCAGTGTTGCTAACTTTTGAAGGAGTGAAGATAGGCATTCATATTTGACACGTGCACTACCTGTGACAAGCATCTCAATGTACTACGATTATTTATCCCTTGACCTTGACCTGCTTTTCAAAAGTTTTAATACTGCTAATAAATTTTAATTGAAAGAAGATAAGGCATTTACATTTGACATGTGCATTACCTGTTTCAAGGCCTTTCCGATTGTATACTCTGGTTTTTGATATATTTTTCACGTGAGCATTACTTGTGACAAGACCTTTCGGATTTTATTGTTATTTAACCTCATGACCTTGAAGTTTGATGTTTTTTTGAGAAGCTATAATCTTTGCCATAACTGTTATTAATTCAATCATTTATGTCTTTTTTGTATACTGCAAAGACAAGACACGACACAGTTACAATATGCCATAAATAATGTCATCCCATCCACTAAGACACCAAAAGCGGGGGAAACACAATTCTTTGAATTTGCATGTTTACATAAAAATCAAAATTAAATCTTCAGAAAAAAATTGCACAAGACCATTTTGGTCTTAATCGCAAGCTCTTTTGTAAAACTAGCCCCAGAACCTTTTCTCACTAGCCATAGGCCTCAGTGGAGGGACTAGTTCTGTATGCTGCTCTAATGTCCCTTGCATGTAGACATGAGAGTGTTCTCTCTTGCGAGGATCCTTGTCAAGAGTTATACTCAAAATTCTAGCGTATAAATTCCATTACTCCGTTATAAGGAAATATATCCTACCCTTGAACACAGAATGGTAGTGGGCCAACCCACAGTGTGATTCAATGTGTAAGAACTCTTGGTCCTCGGCCGATAAATCGGTTTATGGTCATCAGATCTCAAACACGAAGCTTACACCTAGGATATATAATAATGATCTCCCTTTGAATTTAATGCGTATTTAAAGGGCTGCATTACATTACCCCTACACTTTTACAATTGTCATTACCGCTACAAAATAGTACTATACCGCTACATTTAGAATTATACATTACCGCTACAATGCCTAATATGACATGTACAGCACAGCACATGCATAAGACGTTTACCCTGTTTACAACGGCGGGGGGGGGGGGGGGGGGGGGGGGGGTGAATGTAAGACTTTGATCATAATTTTTCTCACTCTATTATATAAAATCCTTAAACATTTTTTTTTTCTAAAAGACATATTTTTGCAGTTTTTGCACAAATCTCCACACTTTAGAATTTTTGAAATTCCTGTATTTCGATTACAGGCTTAATGAATTATATTGAATAAACTCATACTTAATTGTACTTCGACTACATTGTGAGTGAATTACACACGTATTGAGTTTAACTCATATTCTGTGCCACTGC